CATTTCGTTCATGAATATTATCGCAAACAAATGCTACCGAGTATGAGTTGGCGTGTCGGAAGAACTTTTGTCCCAAAAAACATACATGAACACGTGTATGCATATATATATATATATATAGCGAGAATTTGTCATTTTCATCGTACACAAATGAATAAAACAGGAAAAAAGGACATGAAATGAATGGAATGAATGAAAACGGCGACAAAATGTAATTTGCTGCAACAATTGGTCAAAGTGGTATTTTGATTAATCGCCGATTTACATGTGAATGCATTGTACCTTCTGCACGCACACCCACGTAGCTGTGCATACGTACAATACAACAGAAAGAAAATAGAAAGAAGATATTATAATATATGGCGTGCGTGTGCGCAATTCTGTTTTTTCATCTAAGGTTAACTACATTTGCTTTTTATGGGGAAACATTTGTTGTATATGTTTTCCTTATAAAAAGGAGCATAGAATCGACCGAATAGGCGACAGATGTAATTACCCGATGTCGAGCGAAGTTTACTATGTACGTCTTAGAGCGTAAAGAATACCAAATATTCTTTACCATCTCACTTTAAAGGCATTAATGGTAAAATACAAAAACAACTTGTGAAGACTACACTCACTTCAGCAGTCGCAATAAGTCGGATCGGGGTTTTCTCTTCGCTTCCAATATATAAATATATAGTCAAAAGACTAAAAGCTAAAGCTATTATTATAATAATAGTTTATCGTTCCATTTAATACGTTATTAATTGTGTTCACTACGATATATGTACGTACGATATGATATAAATGCCATCACTAGGCACCTAAACTAAATACATAAATGCCTTCTCTATGGTATGGTATACTTACGATATTAGTAATACTATACGCTACGATATAGCATTTATACTCTTGCACATTTATTAATGATCGCACGGCTCCATTAGTACTTAAAAAAGATCATCGTATTAGTATTTAAACTATGATATCAGAATATTAACACACTACGGTATTAGTACTTGTAGTATAGTATTAGTAATCACACTACAGAATTTCGGTAAAGGCGAAAAATTCCATCGATGTATGTATGTACGTAAATCATTTTCTGCATTTTCATTATGATAGAATGCATTTTAAAGGAATTAGAAATGACTTTATTCGTCACTTCCAAGCAGTCTTGGAAGCACGAAACTATGAATAAATATATAGTTTAAGCATAGTTCTGCCTAATGCTGCAAACATCATGAACAATTTAATATACATGAGTGAATGGAGAGAGTGCAATTGGAACGAAATAAATCAATCATTTGTGTTCAGATGTGAATGTAATTTTATTTTATTTTAATTTTTAATATCTGTGGGCATAAGGTCGACCATTTTTGCTCAACTCTATATATATATTTGTAATATTTTGAAGGATTTTCCAATAATTTATTTATTGATTGAGTGACTTTTAAAAACAAACGTATCTGTGGATATGATATTGACTTTTCAGTTGATTGGTTACCTTAATAACATTTATTCTTGGCTTCTTTTAAAAAAAATATTATATCATTTTTTTTGAAAAAAGAAAATACACAACTTTTCCATGAATTATAAGAAAAATTTAAAAAAATTTTTAATTCAAAATTATTTTTAATAGCACATAATAACATAGTAGTCACGATATTTTTAATTAAAAAGTCATTTTTTTATGCAGTACTTTTTGAAGTTTAATTGGAAACACTTTACGATATGTGAAAACAACATAACAATATTATATTCTCTAGCATATTTATAGGCATTTAATATTTATAAGATCTCACATTATTTCAAATGTTGAATTGTAAGATGGATTTGCTTATGCATCAGTAAACACAGTTAGCATGCTTATGTATGTCGGTGTGGGTGCGTTTGCTTCTAATTAGAGAAGAAATGCTTTTTTTTATTATACGACACATCTGACCTCATATTTGTAACCTTACATAACACTTACTCTCTCTCTCTCTTTCTCTTTCTTTCTCTTTCTCTCTCTCTCTCTCTCTCTCTCTCTCTCTCTCTCTCTCTCTCTCTCTGTCTCTATTATTCTCGTGGTCATATGCTATACTGCTTAAAACGAAGTTTCTAAATAGTTCTGTCTTTGCCTTTGGAAGTTACCATCAAATAGCAATTTTCTCACCGAACAACAGTAAAAGCAAAAAATTTCTGTTAAACTTTAACGTTAACAGAGCGCCGAATTATCGCATCTATGCTGATGAAATGAATTTATGTTGATTTTAATTAGCGCAATATATTAGGTGTGTATACAAACTCTATCCGCTGAAGTTGATTGCATCATGAAACGTATCCAAGTTTTAGTTGTTTGCAAATGGTGGAAAGAAATGAATGTCAATAAGCAGCATTTACGCCTTTTCGCATGATAATCGGTTTTAAACTGAAAAGAAATGTAGTCGGAGTTATGGAAATTATTAAGTAGACTTGGGATGAAAATACAATAAGCTATGAATCAATTTGAATATGATTTTCGAGATTTCGTGCAAAAAATCGTAACCTTAAAAATGATGGAAATTTGATAGCAAAAGCTACCTATGAAATGATTTTCACCTAGAACTGGGGATTGGAAATATTGCGGTATATTCTCTAAACCAGTCTCCTGTCGATGGATCAGATCGATGCGATCATATTTGACGGATAAGTGGCTCTGCAAAGTTGAAGTTGAAGCGAAAATCAGTCGATGATTAACTTAGTTCACCTCGAAACTGTAAAGCCTCTTCCGTGAGGGCATTCGTACATCACCCGAAAAGTGATAGAAGACCGTAAATAATAACGATGAATATTTCACTTATTAAGCTTTCTACTCAGAATATTTGAAATATAATTGAATTTTATCAAAACAAAAAAGAATCTGAAGGAAATTTCTTCGCACACCTAAGATGTAAAGGGATGAAAGATACGATTAAAGCCTCTATTAGTACATGAAAAAGTGCACAAAATGAAATTTTGTTGAATTGCAACTGTGTGCAGTTAAAGACACTTATAATTAAACACTTAACTCCAGCCTTCACCGTCAAATTGTGTTTTAAACGTTCCAGTTGAAGATACACAAATTTCCTCATTAGTAAATAAAGTATGTAAGTAAGTAAGTAAGTCAATAAGTGATATATTTAATAAATATGTATACATTGTTGAAAGATTTGTTTATCCAATTTACTGAACTTACATTAAGCCGGCAGAGGTAATACACTTCAGTTTCTTTAACTGATCGTTAGCGGCCGCGTACATCGTTTTATGTTTTTACAAGTTTCTGATTTCATTCGATTACCGAGTAATTGGCGAAATTGTACTCTCGTTATATTCACATTACAAAAGTGAAATGATGGAACGATTACAAGCGTACTATTTTCGTTTTAGGAAAGGGAAACAAAGCAAAAGGTACAGAAAGCGAACTTCCATTGTTGTATGCGGGAAATGTGTAACGAAAATAAATTCACTCCCGATTCCTAACAAAATCGAAATGGATAAGCGTGAAATGCATATTTAATTTTTCTTTTTCAATTTCTTTTCACATTTTTTTTATTTTTATTGTTATTATTTTTATTTTTTTACACTAATGAAATGCATTCTTAGAGTGAAAGAATTACAACAAAAGAAAAAAATAAATAAATAAAAAATTTTACTTAGGACAACCTCGGTGCTACAGTTTGATTTAAAGCGAGATCACTGCTGTCGCACCTGACCGTCGAATCAGCAACAACAACTGCAGGGGCAGGGGAGTTAAAAATGTGCGCAAATCAATGCGATCAGTGCGCTGTAGAACGATATCGTTTATCCTGCACTTCACATATTTCCATTCGTTCATATCCAAGAGAAAAATGAATTTCGGAAGTATTTGCCCTACAGAGCGATCTACGCAATGGAATCTTCATAAAAGGTACAGTCGTAAAATAATTGTTGTCCATGCATAGTTTGCCCACAAGCCATACCCAAAAGTTATTTTCGTACTCGTTAGAGCCCTTTAAGAACATTGCTCTCTGTAATCGTTACAAATGCATCTAAGCAAATGTGAGCTTCATCTCACTTGCTTAATTTCTGTACGCCGTTCCCAAATAATGGCAAGATACGAACAATGTGTTGGAAAAAGAAAATTTACTTGCGTCGATGGATGACTGACTCTACAACAAAGTCGATATAATAACCCCAACTGTCGTACAAATAATCCGATTCAATTAATTTTCAATGCCATTTGTCCTTTCATTACCCCAAACGACGCGGACAGACGTGCAAACAGACCAACAAATTTAGATCGATTCAAAAAATTACTCTGCAATAACAGAGAGAATAATAGAGAGAGAGAGAGAGAGAGAGAGAGAGAGAGAGAGAGAGAGAGAGAGTGATTTGGTTTTAAAGTGTTTGGAATTAAAGTGATTTGGTTAAATAGAGATTGAAAAAATCATTATCGTCTTCCTTCATTCTTCTTCTTTTTCCCTCTCTTCTTCTCTAAAGTATTATTAGAATTCGAAACTCTTTCAATATTGCACTTTAATTTTGCGATTTTCTCGCCATAAGAATTATCGTAGAATAGCTTAGTAAGAAGGAAACGATAGAAGAAAGATAGAAATCCATGCGTCTGGCGATGAAATTATGATTCTTTGCTTTCGCCTTTTCTAATCGAAAGTTTAAATTTCATGATTAATAAACTGAATCATAAATTTGCTATATATATATATATAGAAGAAGAGTAAAATCTGTTGACATCAAATAAATTTTATAGAAAGTGCGAAAAAACTAACCAAGCAAAAAACTGAAAAGGCAAAGAAATAGAAGAGAAAAAATGATAAACTGAATACAATAACAAATTATGATATAATAGCATAAAATCTCTTTAGAAAGCTATTGTTTTGACACACTGACAATGAAAGACAAATGGCACTCGTTGCGATGAAAATGAACTTAAAACAAAAGTGTACCTCTTCGAAGCAAAAGTTTCTGAATATAAAAACCAAGCGCTCAGCCACCAGCAATTCATATTGTTTTCATTGTGTATAACCTATAAGATAATAATAAGTCACACTTCAGTCATTATGAATAGATGGTCAAAATCTTGCTTTACGTTATTAATCATTTTGTTTTCTTTTACAATTTTTGTAACAAACTTGCAAATCAAAGGGAAAGCATCTCATTTAAAGAAGGCCACGGGTGGTATGCTCTTCTTCTTATCGGAAATTAACAAACTGAATGATAATATATATATGTGTTTTGTTTTTTTGGTATTAGCAAAAGGCGTAAAACTCAAATCATCGATACATGAGATTTTAAAATCTAGCTCTCGTCAATATCCAGCAGCCTTTCCAGGTTCATCTCTCCTCGGCGTTTGTCCGTTATGCGATTCGTCGGTGTTTGGCTATTGCTCGCATAAACTAATCCATGATACATGTTGTTGTACTTTTCCAGGTAATTTTCTCGCTTTACATTACCTAACTCTCGATATTCTCTCTATTCACATCGATTCTATTTATTTTCTTTTTATTATTATAAATTGTAATCATAGGTTATCGGTTTCTTTTTTTTTTCTTTTTTTTTTTTATTATCATAAACTATAATCATTTATAATCTCTTGCAGTTGCAATTTACCGTAAGCCACCGCAATGTGTTTATTATGATTGTCGAATATTGTATGCAAAATCCTGTTATGAGCATAATTTGATTAAAAATTGCTGCTGTCAAAACCCCCATTTAAGTTTTAATTGAGAGAAACGTTCATTTATGAAGATGAAAGGGCGAAGAACAAGAAGAATGATGCAAACATTTATTTATCATATAATTATTTTTTTATGAATTTTTAATGCATTAATTTTATTTATAATAATAAAAAAAAAAAAAATTTTATCTTTGATAAAATAGAATCTTGTCTGATCGAAAAAGTAACGCTTGCATACATTCACACAAAAGACAGCAAAGTCATTTAGAGCGCATCGATAAATAAACAAAATTCTTTATATTCTCATCTCGTTGCCTTCATTTGCATATAAATACATAAATGTAAATAATATGAATAATGTATGAATGAATGAATGAATGAATGAATGAATAATAGGTGCATAAGATTTCTTTTTCTTATAATATGAGTAAAAATATCTCTTTGAAGTTGAAATATCGATAGGCTTCTACGATTAATATGATTATCGTACTCGATTCTGTAGAAAATAAAAAGGCGATCTAACTCCCCTGACGAGAACGGCGAGACAGGACGGCCTATTATGATATGGCTTTTATCGCAATATCATTATTTTAGTAATTTGTAAGGCACCTTTACACCTTTAGTTAATAGGAAATTATGTGTAATTGCGAGCTGCTTACCAACGCAGCTATACCTAAGCAAGACGTTTCGTGGCAATATTTTACCTGTCAGTGAATATTCCGCTAAGCCTGCTACAATTTTCATCTTCTTGATTTCATCTAATATGATAATTCGAGAACTATTCCGTGTACAAACGGGAAACGGGAACTACTCCTCTTAATATCCGCCTGAGTAGCCGAAGGCGAGGAATCTCGACTAGCAAGTCAATGGTGGTGGGTTCGAATCTCAAACGCGCTAGAGTTTTTAATAAAAGCCGATAGTCTTAGATGCTAGTGCTTTTAAGAGTTTAGTCTTAGAATTTATTTCTCTGGCGAAATTAATAATAATAATAATAATAATAATAATAATAATTATAATACTCCTCTTAATAGTTTTATGAATTAAAGTTTTGTGCGTTTACAAAATCGAATCAAAGGAGCTATCGAAAAACACATTTTTCTTCTTCTTTTGCTTTTTCTCTGTTATTTAGTCTTCGTTCATTTTTAGATTGATATTTTTAAACTTTGTGAATAAAATAATAATTAAAAAAAATAAATAAAAATAAATAAATTCAATAAATGGAATAGATTTGCTGGTGTTTTCAATCAACAGCACTCCGCTGATTTAGGTAGTGAGCAAGCCGAGCAAAACATGACTATGGACTTGACTCTAAACGATTCTCGTGCCAATGATGATGATTATGAAGAGACACAAAGGCGTCAGCAGGATTTTGTTTCCGTGGGTGCTATAGCCATCTGTCCATTGCACGTGGCACCTATATTCGAGGCATTTGAAAGCAAGCGTGTCGAGGATCTTGTAAATAAGGTTGGCGATTCAAATTCCGAATTCGAGCCGCTGTCACCGATGAAAAGGTGTAGCTCGTTGAAAGCAGCCGGTGTACATAAGTCGCATAACCAGCAAGTTAAGAAAATCACGTTGTACTTGCCGTGGAATGCTCAAGCCCCATACTATTCCTTGTTCACAAGTAGAAATAGGGTGTCGCGTGCGTTTATGTCGTCGCAGATCAACCGAGACCTAAACATGTCCGGCGGCTTTCATAGAAACATTAATGCGTCTTAAAAATTGGGAAAAAAAAATGTGATAAAATGTAATGAAATGTTAAAAATTATACCCATGTAAATAAAACGTCCGGCCTTAATTAGTTGCTCAACTTCCATGTAAATTATTATGTAATTTTCTTTAATTTTAGCTTAAGTTAGAGGAAGGCGTAGGGCTTTCCTTTTTCTTTTACAATTAACGAGAGACAAGTTTTCTCTCATTGAAAGGAAGCGTAGGATGATTGCATCGCTTTCGAATCAATAAATTCTTGGGAAGTAATTCTGACCCCATCATTTTTATGAAAGAATATTTTTTGCCCGATATGTTGTAAGAAGGTGGTTCTGAATCTATGTAAGTTGTAGTAAAAGTAATAAATTGAGCTGGAGGCATTTTAGTGTAATGCGTGAAGAAGCAGGACCGTGAAGAAGAATGGAAGCTATTCACAATTAACAATATTTTGAATTTCTTAACAAATGTGAAAATGCTTTCGAAACTTGATAGACGACCCCATAATTGATCTGCGTTAACACTGAGAGGTGTCGGATTTTATTCCTCATACATTGTGTTTCATTAAACTCTACACACACTTTGTTGGCATTTTTAAAACTCGAGAAAAATTTAAAGTACACCCACCTTTCGGCTTAGAATTACCTTTTGAATCGATTTAAGCTTATCTCTCTCTTTCTCTCTCTCTCTCTCTCTCTCTCTCTCTCTCTCTCTCTCTCTCTCTTTCTGTGTGTGTCTTCCCAATTGATGTCTGTTATCGTGTTTGAAGGTCGCAAGTTTTAAAATATTTCAGTAAAATTTCGTATATTAATTTGTTTTGGTCCACGAACGAATTAAAAATAACTTTGATCAGGCCATTTTGACGACCACCCACCATGTAACGTCTTAGTTGCAAAAAGAGTGCAATTTTTTTTCACAATTCTTGACAAAAGTCGGCGGGAAATTCTTTCTCGATATAAAAAGAAACAAAATTCCGGTTAATTTGGATAAGGAAGGGACCATCTTCCGAACCCTTTTTCATATATCATATTTTTAGAATTATATGATCAAAAATTTTTACTTGACAAAAACTTAACCTAACCGAATTGAGCTCAAGTCTGTTCAGATTTTGGGATCTCTTAGTACGACAAAATAGAATTTTTGGTAAACAATGATGTCAACAAGTAAATTAGTACTATTAAGTGAAGAAATGTAGGGTATCTCATGGCGCGATTTGCCCATATATAATGATTTTATTGTTATAATATAACTTGAGCATAGATTTTTTGTTGGTTTTGTCGGGGATCGTTACAAATCTAACTAACTGCTGTGTGCGTGCACTAATGAGATTAAACAGTCTTACGTAATACAATTGATTCCAACACTGAACAGGTATAAATAGTAATACGCAAAAACAGTTGGAAAGGGCGAGTTTATTTAGGCTCGCATGCATACACATTCGTAGTAATAGCACACACCGAAGTGAAGATAGACCGCAATTTTTAAGGTTTTTGTCTTTGCCAATTAAAGTATATATTCGGAAGCATGAGCAAATAAAACTAAATTATTGCTATTAGCTCTCATGCACAGGTCCAGAGTGCAAGCGCTAAAAGAATGCTTTGTACAAATTGAGCTAAAACAATTTCCACAGACGCTACGCAATTTCAGATTTTTGATATGGCTTCAGAAATGCTATAACCTAGAATATATGAACGCCAAACTCGCCCCCAAATATGCTAAATATTCTCAAACATTTATTGTGCCTCCACGTAGTTAGCAGTGGGAGTTTCTGTATAGTGTGACAGATAAGTATACCACAACATTTAGACAAAGAGCGGAGCAAACGAAGAGATCTTTACTTAAAAACATTGTGAGTGAGAAAGAGATAGGAATAGAACGAGTTATTGTATTTTATATTTAGATCATTACAAATGACACGAAGCTAGGAAAACAAAAATCACAAAAATTTCCTACACCACTTACCGTAGGAGAAATTCATAAGATGAATAAAAATGAATATGAAATGTTGAAGATGAACTAACAATAGAAATTCTTTGATCATTCATTCCGTAATTTGGTGCAGACATAGTTCCGTGTCTGTTAATTTAGATAATGGAATAATTAAAGAAAGCTCACGTAACACTCAATCGCTCGATCTAAAAAAGTCGACTGTTTTATATTATTTATGTATAGGGCGCTTTGTGCTGCCTCTCTACGATCTTTTATTAATCATCGCATCTGAGAATTTGCTTAGTTATAGTTAATAGAAACCTATCTTGATTTCAGTATGTTTAGTTTCGTTTCCAAAAAAAAAAAAAAAAAAAAAAACCAAAACCTGAAAATTGAAGTGAGAAAACTTAAAAATTATTTGCGAATTTGCGGAACCTATCATCTTAAGGTAATAACAATCACAAACGTCCTAATGAAGCGAATATCTTCAGCGAATGCTACTCAAAGCATAAATTATGCGAATTCTGAAATTTCTCGAGTTTTGGGAAAACATTCAAAAGATGTCTAATGAAGATTGAGGGATTTCGAGTAAAAAATGTTGACATTGTTGTTTGACGATGTTATTTATACCTTCTATGTGTTTCAAAATGGTAGTAACATATACTAGATCGGATTTACAAATTCATCTATTTAAGATTTTTTTTTATGCCCATCAGCGAAGGATAGAGAGTTTATTCATTTTGTCAAATGTGTGCAATAACCAGCCGGAAGCGTCAGGGATCTCACAAAGTGTACATATTCTTGAGCAGGATCAAATTGTAAATCGATCAAAGCCGTCCGTCCGTCTGTCCGTCCGTGTAATGTCTGTTTTAATCATTCTCCTGGCCATAAAAATGAAGCTACCGGCTTCAAGTTCGCCAGCAGCATTGGAAGTTCTTCCGCGCTTGTCAGCATTAAAAATGACCCAAATCGGTTGAAGGACACATCTACAGTACTACGTAAATTGAAAACACTTATGTTATTCAAAGGACTAAAATAATGGTTGTTTGCTCGTTACTCACAAATTGTAGCAGATAAATGTACAAAGATTTAAATTGAAATTTCTATAGGCGATGCTCTAGCGTCTATGCATAAAAATGGAAATAATTGACCACGCCTACACCATATTATAGTGTATCAAAATTTAATTTATTTTTTCAATACCTTAATAAGACGCAGAACAGACAAGTTTCATAAACCCCATAAAGTCTACAAATTTTTGGCCAATTTCAAATTGTGACATGTCGGTCTAATCGTCTGTCTGTCTGTCTGTCTGCGCAATTGTATAGTATTTATGGTAAACATTCTCGCGTTCGCGAAAACGAAGGTATCGCCTACAAATTTGCAAAAGAATTTGAAAGTTACTTGAACTCTTCGA